AAGAGGATCATTTAGAAGCAAAAAAAGTTAAACAACAGCGATGGCATATTAGTCGTCTGTATCATCACATCGTGATGCTACTAGAACAATGCAACAAAATTCATTAACAGTTTTCCACTTCAAAACGGTTCTCTGCCCTCCCGGTTACAACTGAAGGAAGGGTAGAATCGCAGAAAATCCAGAAAGGTTATAGATTTGCCAACAGCGCGCAATGGCTTCAAACAAAGCAGAAATAACGCAGTACCATCACGCCGCCAAAAATAAAGCTGGTAAAAACTTAATGGCACCCCGATTCTATTAAAATCAGCGTTATTTTAGTTTGGGGTTTTCTGCTTGATTTACGACTTTGCGAATGCTCCTTCCGCGTCGCTTGCAGGTTGCTGTCCGAATTCTTATTTCAGTGTCAACTTTAGTGATTTATTTTGGTAAAACAGTCTTGTTTTAATCAGCCGGTAACAAATTTCTGCTTGCCATAGTAGAAAGATCTGTTATTTGTAAGACTATTTCTGTCATTTACTTTAATGCCTCTTCACGTCCTTTTAATTTAAAAAAAAATCTAGGCTTGAGAAGAGGTGTGAATTGAACCGGGTAATTGTAAAATCTTGTTAGACACAATTTCTTCGGTATACCATGCCTGAGAAGTCCCGACAGTTTAACGTATCCGAAGATTCTATCTGTATATCATTGGCTTACATCTTTAGAAGGGGAAGTTAGTTCATTATTCCATGTTAGCATTTCTAAACTGTTATTGGAAACACAAATGTAATAAAACTTGAAGAAATACTTGGCATTAAAATATTTTTGCAGAGCAACATATGTGCAGACCCATAACATCTCGAATCTTTAAATATTCAATTAGTTTAAGAGGAAGACTACTTGAGTCAAAAACATGTTGTCAGCTGGACATTATAACATTGTTTAGCACAACCAATGCTTCATTAAACTAGCCTTATTATATCCTTTTAATCTTCAGAAAAAGAAAATTTAAAAATTCAAAGACGTTTGACATTTCCAGAACTGGGAGGAACTAAGAGCAAAATGACATTTCACTGTTTGACGCTTCCGAGATCAGCAAAAGCGTCCTTAATTTTTTTTAATTCATTAGGTTTTTATACAAAATAATTTTCAGGGTAGTAGATATTTTCTGGAGAACAAAAGCGTTTTTTGTCGAACTCTAGCAGGAGTTTTTTGTGTGTGCACCCAAAAACAATAAAAGTCTTGACCTCTTGCAGACTGACTGTACCAGCGCGCCAAGTGGCTAGCTGCTTTTTGGTGGAAAAGTTGAAAGGGACAGCGGAAGGGAGTGCAGCAAAAGGGGAGGGGACGGCAGCGCTGCAACTTTTGTA